AAAAATTGATATCAACCCAATAATGACCATACCTTGTGTCCAATCATTCACCAAGTTCACATTCTACCTAATAGTACTCTCATCTAGTCCACATCGACTTATTGTGTAACCAGGATAGTATGTGAGACACTGTTATGTGTTTCCTGAAACCCAGGTATTTTATATTTGTGCCAGTTTCTTAATCTACCGATTTATTAACCCTGTAAAAAGATAACTGACATTTACAAGGTGATTTAAGGTTTACAAAACACTTTATAAATGGTTTTTCATTTTATCTTCATCACAATCTTGTAGTCAGTGTCCATGTATTGTACCTTGTTATTTTACTATTTAAAAATAGTTTTAAAATTAAGTTAAATTTAATAAATTTGAGTGTCAAATTAAATATAATATAAACATAATAATAAATATAAATAATGAAGAAATAAAACCATAAATATTAAATTAAATATAATAAAATTTAAATTTAAATTTGAGAAATGGCTAAACATCAGGCTTCTGGTGGTTGCTGGATCAGCTACTCATTCCATGAATGAATTTCTCTATGAGATATTAGCATTTAATTTAGAGACAGCTATGTGGTGCATTGGATATAATGCTGTCTGTGGAATCAAGAAGATCCAAGTTCAAATCTGGCCTAGTCACCTATAGCTGTGTGACTCTGGGCAAGTCACTTTACCTCAGTTTCCTCATCTGTAAATTGGAATGAAATGAAATAATATATGTAAAATGCTATGTAAGTGGTAGCTATCATTTTCAGCAAGCAGGCACGTAGAAAAAGTACTTTGTAGCAGAAGAAAATCCATGCAACTTTTGTGCTTGAAATATGAAACTAGAGAATTCAGTAATTGAACAACTATTTATTGATCACCTACTATGTAGCAGAGAAATTATTCCTGGGCATTTTTTGATTCCCAGATTCTCAGTGATAGAAGGAGAGTCAATATAATTTCTGTACAGTGTCTGGGTGGCACAATGCATAGAATGCTGGTCTTGGAGTCAAGTAGACCTGAATTCAAATCCTACCTCAGACACCCTTCTAGCTGTATGACCCTAGGCAGTGCACTTTACCTCTCTCAGGCTCAGTTTCCTCACCTCTAAAACGGGATCCTTGAGTTTATTGCAAGTTTCAAATGAGAGAATTCATGTGAGCTGTTTTGCAAACCTTAAAGTACTACATAAATGCTCATTATTATTGTTGTTATTTAAGTTATTCTCTGTCTCTCTGTCTCTCTCTCTCTCGTAAGTGACTTGCTCAGGGTTACATAGCTAGTAAGTGTATGAGGCTAGCTTTGAGCTTAGGTTCTTGTGACTCCAGGGTCAGTGCTCTATCCCCTGTACCACCTAGCTTCCCCTTATGAATCTCTTAGAAGGAAAATGTCCAATCGGTGCCTAGGATTAGCACATGTAGTGTTAGCACTCTAGTCACTTGGGGTATATATTCTATGTTCTTTCTAGGAAAGAAGCCCAAATTTTCATTTGCTATTTTTAGTCTCAAGACATTGATTTTTTTTCTAAGAAAGGAAGTGTAAAAAAGAGAGAAGGGACAGTGGGGGCCATGCTGATGTGGCAGAAGTGATCAGCCCATGAGCCAGTTTGATATACAATTTTTGGAATTTGTATGATTTGGAATCATGAAAAATTTTGGAATTGACACTCGAGATCAACTAATCTAGCCCCTGTATTTTAAAAAGGAGGACATATAGATCCAGAGAATGAAGTGACTCATTTAAGATAATTCAATCATTGAGTGGCAGAGCTGGGGTTAGAATCTAGGTCTCTTAATTTTTAGGCCAGTTTTTTCCCCTTCAACTCAATAAGCATTTTTGAAGTTCCTGCTGTGTTCAAGACACTCTGGTGTTGGGAATACAAGTCCAGGCAATGAGTATTTATTAAGCTCCTCTATTATGTACCAGGCACTGTGCCAAGTGCTGGGGATACACAGAAAGGCAAAAGCCAGTCCATGCCCTCAAAGGGCTTATGGTCTAATGGGGGAGACAAAATGTAAACAACTGCATACAGATGACATACATGCAGTATAGCTAAGAGATAATCTCAGAGGGCAGGCACCAAGATCTACTGGGCCTGGGAAAGGCTTCTCTTAGGAGGTAGGACTTAATGGGAGATTTGAGGAAAGCTGGAGAAGCTAAGAGGTAGACCCGCATCCACCTCTTCTCTTCCTCCCCTGTAGCATGTTAGATTTTTGAAAGTACAAGTTGGCTTATGTATTTATTTATTTTGTCTGTGTATGTCTGTGTACTGATAATATCCATCATTGTGCCTGGTACATAATAGGCATTTAATACATACTTGTTTAATTGAATTAAAAAAAATAGTTCCTGCCCTCAAGAAGCTTACATTCCACTGAAAATTTCCACTATACCACATGATTTTCCATCTATTCCAACCATTCACTATCCAATCAATATCAATAGCAGTTGAATATTGAAGTGGGGGGAAAAATCTACCCAAAACACTCCAAACCCCCAAATACTGCAAAATTCTTAGTTTGATGCCATATATCTACATCATTCAATCAATAAAATGTTAATGACATTCTATTGTGTCTTGTCCATAATATCCTGCTTCATTTGATGCTTATGGACAGGTAGGGTCAGATGGGGACCAGAGTAATTAAATGACTTGGAGTCCTATTGGAATATTAGGGCTTCTCTTCTAGGCCTTTGGGCAAGGCTTGTGTCAATGCTAGTCTACTTTCCTTATACTAATGGCTACTTCTGATGGTTATAAAGGCTATACTCTCTGGATCCACAGCATCAAGGACATTTATTGAAAACTGGATCTGTTACTTCATTGCTGTAAGGAATTCTGGGAGAGAACTTCTTCTGCCTATATAGGTCAGCAAACTTATAATCTTAAACTTACCATTTGCTCTGAAACTTAGAGTCTTAAGGGTTTCCTGAAGAACTGAGAGATTTCAGTGACTTGCTCAGGGTCACACAGTCAATATGTGTCAGAAATGGGTCCTTGAGCTTAGGTCTTCCTGATTCTAAGGCCAGCTCTTTAGCCATTATTCACTGCTGCCTTTGTGGGATATGATAGCTATATGTACCTTTCATAGAATCATAGCTTTATTGTTCTAAAATACCTTGGAGTCTAGTTTAAACCTCTCATTTTACAGATCAGGAAACTGAGCCTCAGGGGATTTTAATGACATACTCAGAGTCACACAGATAATGAAGGTCTGAGGAAGGATTTGAACCCAGGTCTTCCTAATTCCAAATCCAGTGCCTATACACTGTACCATGTTGTCTCTTGCTTGGGGAAAGAATACTACTGCTCCATCCTTCATTAGTAGGGTTTGGCTTCTGAGTTGTTTTTTCCAGTCTTGGGGATGGATTTACATTAATCCATCCACATTGCCTCATGGAGTTCTTGTGAGTAATAGCCAACAAGTCTTGAAAGGGCAGTTTGTGGTCATGGAACAGACCCACAGAGCCAAGTTAGCTGACTTATCCAGGGATCTAATCTAAGATGTGGGTCTCATTAACAGAAATGCTCTAACTAAATGATCTAATTGGCCACACAGCTTGAGACTCAGAGCAGAAAATTAAAATTGCATAAGCACACACAGACACACACAGAAAAGCATTTTGTAGTTGAGGAAAAGGGGAAATTGAACACCTTGCTAGGGATATAGTCTCAAAGTATGGGGCAATCTGGAGGTCAAGAGCCAAGTCATGGCTTTAGGTGTCTGGTGTCCAACAGCGGGATGTCGGGTGGGGAGTAAGAAGATTTGGAATGGAAGGAACAGAGGAGGATTTGGACGTCAGTGAGGGCTTCAGCTTCAGGCCAGGACTCCAAGGACTCCAGGGTTACACAAGTCTCTTGCTTTTATTTCCAAGTATATAATCTTTGGTTGACTCATGAGCATGATCACGCCATGGTCCACTTCTCCTAACTACATTTAGTTCTTCTAACTAACCAGTTTCTACATGAATCCTCCTGCAACAACAACAACAACAACAAAACAACAACAGAAACACAACAAAGCAACTTTAACTTCTGAAAGTTACATTATGTTGTTGTGCTGTATTATGCTGTGTTGTGTAGTCAGTCAATAAGCACTTATTAAACACCTACTATGGGCCAGGCACTGTACTAAGCACTGAGGATACAAAGAAAGGTGAATAGTTTTTGCTTTCACTTGGATTTTAGTCCAATAGGAGAGACAACAGGTAAACAACTACATACAAACAAGATATATACAGGATAACTTAGATATAAGCAACAGGAAGAAGGCACTAGAATTAAAGGGGATTGGGAATGGCTTCTTGTAGAAGGTGGGATTTTAACTAGACTTTGAATCAATCTGGGGAAGCCAGAAGGCAGAGATGAGGAGGGAGGAAATTCAAAGAATGGAAAGCAGCCAGTGAAAATGCCCCATAGTTGGGATATAAGGAGTCTTGTGCAAAGGACAGCAAGGAGATCAAAGTACTCTGCCTCCAGAGCATGTGGAAATGAATAAAGTGTAAAAAGCCTGAGAAGTTCGAAGAGGGCAAGGTTATAAAAGGCTTTGAATGCCAAAAGGATGATTTTATATTTGATCCCGGAGATAAGAGGGAATCACTGAAATTTATTGAATAGAGGAGTGACATGAGAAGAAGGCAGGGAATAAGGAATAATTTTAAACACCTATTATATGCCAAAGATCGTGCTAAGTATTATCTCATTTGATCCTTACAACAACCCTGGTAAGTGCTATTATTAGTCCCATTTTACAGTTGAGGAAAGTGAGGCAGAAGTTAAGTGACTTACCCAGGACCACACAGTTAGAAAATATTTGAGGTTGGATTTGAACTAAGGTCTGGCACTTTGGGACCTTGCTGCCTCAACATAATTAGACCTGTGTTTAGGAAGATCAATCTGTGTTGTGTTATCACAGTCACAATGCTGTGTTATGTCATGCCAATTAGAGGAAAGTTGCAGTGTTTCCTGAATGCCTTCTAAAGATTTTCTTGTGTGTCTATGTCTACTAGGTGGATGTCAACTCCATCCATAGTTCCACCGGACTGACATGGATGAGACTTGTTCAGGCAGCTTGCAGTAGCCAGGAGCAGAACCTGGAAGCTTACTTGGAAAACAGTCAGCTGTATTTCCGTCCCACAAGGAAGATCAAGCAAAATGAAGAGCTCTTTATTTGGTACGACAAAGAGCTTTTCTGCCTCCTAGGTTTCCAGGATATTAAAGCCAGAGCTCTCCATAAAGGTAAGAGCTTTTCCAAAAGAAATCCTTCCCCTAAGGAGCAATTAAGGTGATAGAAAGTCAATTCCTTAAAAAAATAAATTTCTCCTAAGTGGGAAAGTAATGTTTCCTCAAAACTTTTGTGAAAGTCATATCATAAATAGAATTGTAGAATCTTAGAGTTGAAAAGTGCCATGGGGTCATCTATGCAATGATGATGTCTGTGCAAATGGAGTTCTGCTATACATATACATATTCACATATCTAAACACATAATTATATAGATATATATGTACACATGTATATATATGCATGTATGTAAACATATATTATGTGGTGTAATGGATAGAGGGGCAGCTAAGTGGTGCAATGGATAGAGCGCTGAGTCTGGAGTCAGGAAGACATGAGTTCAAATCTAGCTTTAGACACTAGCAGTGTGACCTTGGGTGAGTCACTTAATTCTGTTTGCCTCAGATTCCTCATCTGTAAAATAAGCAAACCATTCAGAGAAGGAAATGGCAAACCACTCCAGTATCTTTGCCAAGAAAATCCCAAAAAGGGGTCATGAAGAGTTGGGCACTATTGAAAGCCGCTGAACAATAGCGACAAGTGGCTAGAGAGAAGGTGTAGTAGACAGACAGCAGGTATAGAGGATAGGAAACACTGGATTGAAGTGCTACCTCTGGCACATACTGGCCATATGACCCTAGGAAAGTCACTTAGCCTCACTATTCTGGGCGTGTCTCTAAGACTACGATGTGCGGTAAAGGTGCTGACCTAGGGAGTTTCCTCACCCAGAAGTTCCACATACCAATGGAATCGCAGGTCTAGGTCCTATCTCTGTTCCCATCTGTTGAGTAATTCAGCCCTGTAAATGTGCTACAACCTGCTTGAATGCATTGTGCCTCTTCCTTTGCCCCCAAGTAAGACACAACTTTGATTTCTCAGATATTGCAGTGCTGCAAGATTGGCAGCCACGTGGTGTGGATGGGAGAACAATGTATTGAAAAGATGTACTTTTGCTCTAAGGAGCAGCTTGGGATTGATAAAACCACTGTGAAAGTTCTTAAATGCAATCCAGGCCACTCTCTTCCTCCTGTTCACTTCTACCCATCACTATTATCCATCTGCAGTACCTGTGTCAAATTATGTAGTGATGTAACTCAATGGATTGACCATTGACCCAACTGTGTTGGGTTTATAGTCCAGACAATAGTCATTTTTTTACCCATTTAGATTTTTCCTGTAGAGGTCCTCAGGCCAAATAACTTTGAATAGTCATGGAACACATTGGGGAAGCCCTGTTCTCCATGAATTCTCAAAGATTCATGATACTGTTTTAGCAAGCACATCTATAATTTCTCACACCACTAGGAAAACTTGGACTCTTTGAAGACATTTAAGTCCTGTCTTGTTATCTCCTTTTTAATTCTGGGTTTCAGTTCTGGAGTGTGCAGCAGTACTGAGCTCTCTCCTGGTCCTTTGGTTCCATGTCTGGGACCTAGTCCCTTAAATCAGGGGAATGAGGCCTTTAAAAATGTTTCCAATGGACTAGTTGAGATCTAAGACATGACCATTTAAGAAAGTCTGTTTCTCTCTCTCTCTCTCTCTCTCTCTCTCTCTCTCCCTCCTCTACATGTATGTGTACTTTTAAAATATAAAGTAGGCTTAAATATCTATAGATCTCAACAGATAGGACACCCTTTCTATGAATGAGGAGCTGTCTTTGGCAGATCTGGGCCTGGAGGGACAGACAAGACTGGTGGCTGATGTCAGACATGTGACTGCTGCCCACAGAGTGTCCTGTGGTAACCAAAGACAGCACAGAACTCTGCACCGTCTGTTAAAAAGAAACTGAGTTGGTTCTGGGTTGGGGAAAGTCAGAGCTGATGCAAGTTTGGGGGCAGAAGAAAATTAAGGATGTGAGGAAATATGAGGCCAGGAAGGAGTTTGGCAAGCTTCACTGAGATCCATGTTTTCTGCCATCAAACACACCACGCAGCAAAGTTGAGGTTAAGAGGATCTCCTGAGTAACAGAAAACAACTTCTCAGATTGCTAGAGCTGTCAGAGAGGCAGGCATGAAGCTTGACCAGAGATGACCTGGCTACTCCTCTGAGGAATGCAGGGAGTGGCAGATCTTTGGGCCCCAGTGTTAGGGATGAAATTTTGAAATTGGGTCATGATTCTTTGCTTAAATGGCACTTCCAGTGACACTTCTCTGTCCCTTCTCTTCTGGACACCTTTCCAGTTTAGCTTATTCTTTATTTACTCTAAGTACAAATCATGAAGACATTATTCTCCCTCATGGGAGAAAGCTGATTTACACAGGTCTGCTATTTTGTTGGCTTTGTTAAAGTGTTGGCATTGACCATAAACTCCTCCCAGTGAGCTGTGTCTTAAAAGTTCAGGCTACTCTTGGAAGAGGAATCCATGCAGTCTCACAGCACAGACTTTCAGTGAGGCCATCCCACAGCATGACTTAGTGAGTAGAGGTCAACTTCCCAGGCCGTGATCTTGTTTGATACCTGACTTTTATTACTGGGTATGGCCATTTAATAGGAACTGAATGAGAGAGCAAAAAGGAACTCGTGAAGGCAGGTGTGGCAAGAGCAGACAGCCAGAGAATGGAGAGATAGATGTGGGGTGAGGTGAATGGATTGAGAGTTAGCTAGAGTGGAGAAGAAATAGCAGAAGTCAATCAATCTAAACAATGGCCTGGCATTGGTTAAGCATTTACCATGTGCTAAACACTGGTGATATAAGGAAAGTTTAAAAAAAATATGGTCCAAGAAAAAGTCATAGAGGGAAGTATTATTTGCATGACCTTTGTACTTCCTTTTTTGGTCATATGTCTTTTTGAGGTTTTCTTTTATGCTACTTCACGTGCGTAATTCATTGTTTGTGCCTACTTGGCCAGTTTCTTTCCCTTGTTCTTTGGCGAACGCATTATTTTGATTCTATGTTTTATGATTTGAAGCAGTATCATATGCCCAGGAGAATACTCATGTTAAAAAAGAGGTTTTTTTTTAGAGAGAAGCTTGGGGTTATTGAAAGGGCTATACTATTTCCCAAATGCTATCTCACCTATTCTTCCTATTTGTTTCTGGGATCTTCCAAGGACCATCTGCAGTGTCTATCTTTAGTAAATGCCTTTACTTTAAGCTAATTGTGTGTTTTGGCTTTTACTGAAAAGTAAACACATTAGTTATAGATTCATGAGCTATGATTTTAGAAGAATGGATCCACAAAGTACTTTGAACTTGGGATTGCCATCCCTTGGGGAACTGCCCTTCAAGTGAGGGGTTAGTCCAAAGGGACACCACACATATATGATCAAATGAACATATGATCATTAATTTCCTGCAAATAATAGTTATATGTTAACTAACCACCCACCATTTCACCTTATTCTTGAAGGTTCTACTCTTCGTTTTACTCCCATGCCATGATAGCCATGGGAAATGTACAGTAGTTCCATCCATCCTCCATTCACCTTTCTACTAGGGAACTTATGCTTTGCTTTCCTCACTAAGCTTCATCATCTCCTCACAGAAGAGTAGTATAATGAAACAGAATACCTACATGAGTTCAAGTCCTGACTCTGAGACTAGTTATATGACATCTTGGGCAAGTCAATTTCCCCATTTTAGGCTCAATTTTCTTGCATATATGTAACTAATTCTAGGAGTTTACAGACAATCTCCCTTTCTTATTACTCCTGAGTTTACTCAGGGTCTGGATGAAGATACTTGACACTGGTTCAGTCAGTAAACTGCAGGAAATAGATCACTTAGATGTTATATCATAACCTGAAGCAAAACAGTTTGATTTGATTAGGAAAAGCATGGCAATACCAAGCAGTAGCAGGCAGAGGAACACAATTCTTTCCTAGGGTCAAAGTTCTATTCCACATAAACATGGACCTGGATGTAATTTTACCCATTCCCAATGCATCTTCTATGAAATGGGTGGGAAAACTAGGCATTTGTTCATGAAAATGGCTTGGACAACTGGCAGAAAGTTTTGGAGTGCACTGATTGCTTTGTATGCCTCAGACTTCTGGCAGATTCTTGGTACTGGACTGTACTTAGGCTCAGCAGAGTAGGAATGAAGAATTGACCTCTCCCCATCCAGATATAGAACATAGAAGTCTATCTACCCCAGCCTGATTGAATGGATGTGCACGTGGTCACACTCATATTAATTACTGTTGTCCCTCTTACTCTCAGACTTTTCTGTTCTCTCCCTTCTTCAGTTTACTTAACCGAACCAGTCCCTGGATCCTTGGATGCCAAGTCTCCTGGGAAATAAGGGCAACTGATGATGAAGTAGAAATGTCCCACTATTGGCACTGCTAGGAAACACCTTTCAGAAAAAATTGGGGCTTCATTGGAGTAGTCTTGTTTTTTACACATAAAATAGGAATATTACTTGCATTCCATCTTGGAATTGAGAAGAAAGCACTTTGTGAACCATAAGGTTTATTGATTGTTGCTGTTATTAATACTATCATTATTATCTCAGTTCTACTGGGTCCAAACAGACCTTCTTTCTCAGAGTTTTGGTTCTTCCAAGGCTGACTGTGCCCTAATTCAGTAAGTGCTATATTTAGAAACCTGGTGCTTCCTCCCACCCTCTAGCTCTGTCCCATAGTAGTACAAAGTTCCATCTCCTAAACCCTGATTGTAGATGAGCTGTCTCTGGTAGGGTTTCAGGGGGAAGGATGCGAAGTAGTTTCCATAGTACGACGCTTTCCATAAAGTGGTCAGAGATTGAATCACAGAATTCCATGGAGTGCTTGTTGACAAGACAGCTCAGATTAGAGATTCCATCACCAAGTTAATCCAAATGTACGTCATTCAGTCTTTTCCTCCCAACTATTTTTTTGGCTTTGCCTCTTCTGCAAGGCCCCCCTGTCCCATTGGTGAGTTTCTCCTGGAGTCCCCATTTGTGGAAACGTCCAGGTCAGTCTGTCTCCAGTCACCTCCCTGCTCTGCTCCTGACTTTCTGGATGTCAAAACCA